GTCCCATGAAAATAGGAAACATGTCCGGATTGCCATCAAATTTGTCCGGCATCACAACTTGGCATTTCCTCCTGGGTGATGGTGGAGCAGCAGGAACCTGGGCTGCCAGCTGAGCAACTTGGGCTGATAACAAAGCCACTGCTGAGCGAGCTGGGCATTCTCAGCATGTAGCTGCTCCATAATAGTAGGGGGTGGGGCTGAAGGCAAACTGTTATGTTCCAGCCTATAGCCGTCCTTGTTAAAGGCACAAGGACAAAACCCCTGTCGACAAAAATAGGCTGGAGACTCCAAAAGAAAACAAATCCCTTTAATATGGGTGACAAACTTGTCAAATAGTCCAGAAACCAAAACAGCAAAACACAAACCAAAGGGAGGAAATTGTCCACATGAAATACAAGGCAAAACAGAAAAGTAATCACCGGCAATACTAACAGAACAAGATTCCCACAAAGTAATTTGCAACAGTTGCCTTCAGCAACCAGCACCACCCACACATTCCCCGTTTGTAAGTCAGTCCTCAAGGCATGACTTAGCAGTGCCTTCTCCTGAGTCGTCCCATAGCCTCTTTCTGGTCTATTCTCCTAGCTTGTCTCCTTTTTCGAGCGTCTCTCATTTCCGACAGCTGTGAGACATCCAAGTCTGACTCTTCTTCCCCACCCAGCTGCATCTCATCCTGCACACGATTGGAGAGGCCTGGCTCCTCACTGGAATGTGAGTCTTGTAACTCCTCAAAGCGTTCCTCCACCTCCTCCTCCTCAGATTCCCCGGACTCTGCTGTTGAGAGCACAGGCTGGCTCAGAGTCACGACAGTTCTTCTCGCTACTCACACAGCCGTCAAGGTTGCTGAGATTCGTACTTCAATTCATCACACTTGCCTTCGCTCTTCTTCTCCACCACCCAATGCTGGGGACCATTGAGTTGCTTGGACTGTAGCCCCTGGTGCTGGGAATGACCTTGGGCTGAAGCGTTTGTTTCATGGACAGCCTTGACCTGAATGCTGGGACGTTTTGGTCGCTGTGATGCTTGTGCCTGCCAGGCTTCTTCTCAGGCTATTTTTTTCTCACTGGCTCCCTGCCTACTTATGTCGTGGATGTTGCTCCTCTCTGCTTTGGTTTCTATCTTGTACATTGTTTGAATTGTTCATTTCTTCTTTTCTGTTACTCTATGTTGTTTTCCTCTTCATACTCCAAGCTTTTCTTTCTTCCTTCTTTCTTCTGTGGAGCTTGCTCTACCCTTACCGGGGGGGATTATGGGAAGGGTGATTATGTTTGGTCAAGTTTGTGGTCAGGTTCTGGCCACGGTCAAGGTATGTAACATGACTACGGGGACAGCATGTGCTGCTGTGGACTGGAATGGGTCAGATTGTAATTGTACAATCTGACACACCTTCCAAGGGTGCTTTGAACAATAAATCCAAAAGTAAGGCAGCATCCGACATGCTGACACCAGGTGAGGACAGACAAGAGAGGGTCATGACCTTCTCGGTTGGCAATATACAAGCGCAACAGCTGCCTCTTCACTCTGATTCTGGGATACCTAAGTTTGTGCCTGAGCAGCCTTAGGAGCTACAAACATCCTTCCCCATCTTTCCCAGTAAATGGAAGGCCAAAGTAGTCCCCAATTTCCCAATCCCTCTTTAGGGATTTGGGGCTCCCAACACCCACATTCAGAATGTGCAGGTGTGGGTTACACTCTTGAATGTAACGGACTGTTGGATATGCACTCACTTACCCCCAATTGGTACACAAGGATTGGTCATGGAAGCCCCTATGTTCAGCATGGTTAATGTCACAAGGGGATGGGCACTCCGTGTTTGGGGCAGGAAAGTTGCAGATTGCTAAACTAGGGGCACGTATACAGCACCATGCAGCTGCTTGCCTTAGTCATTTTAATTCTTCTTCCAGATATAAGCTAGGTATCTATGCACCTTGCACAGTCACATGGAAGATTAGTACTACCATGTGGGATGGGTGGCATAAATGTCATCAGACCTTTGGTCTCGACTACAAAAAGGACTCTGCTCTTTGTAGTCTGTTTGCAGCAATGGGACTTATGACATATGTCATTAGAGCTTATATGCCTGCAGGGTTAGAAGGCAAACAAAGTATTTCTCTTGCCTGGACCAGTGGTTCCTTTGTGGCCAGTTTGCCTACAAGTCTTTGCCAGCTTATTGGTCAGGGACATGAAATGTAGGAATTATCTTTCCTTCAATCCGTATCATCTAACATAATGATTGGACCTTCTGCATCCACAATTGTTGGACGAGGACCACCTTGGGCATGAAGAACGTATTGAACACCATCCTGTACCTAATGGCCTAGGAAATGCCATTATGTGAGCAATAATCCCAGCTTTGGAGGTTAGTTTGAGTTATGAATCTATTATAGAATTAGGTGACTGGACTGAGGAAATGTTTAACCATACCATACAGGCATTTACACAACTCAATAAGGAACAAGGAGAAATATGGGAAGTAGTACAGAATCACCAAGCATTGGATATGGTACTGGCAGCAACAGGTGGGGTGTGTACTTGCATTGCTGCACTTTTATTACTGATTGTCAAGTTAATATTAGTCACATCATTCATCTTGTGGAAGAAGGAATCAAGAATCACTCTAAGGATCTGGGGATTTCTATTGATGCTGTATAGGGAGTCTTGAATTGTATATTCTCATTCCTTACCAGTTGGCTCCTGGGGATGGTTTAAGGAACTCTTCATTGGTCTTCTCTTTGTGGTGTTCCTTGTTCTTTTTTTCTGTTATATCTTTCACTGCTTGCCCCTAATCACCTCTGCCTGTCCTAAATGATATGGCTCACATACTGCAGAAGCTTATCCTGTGTCTATCCAGTTTGATGATTGTACTTCTGTGCATTGCTCAAACTATGAAAGGGGGATTATGTTGACCCGGAATTAGAGGACAGCATAGGAAGTATGAATTGTGAATATATACAGATGGCCCTGCTGTCTTTGGGCACTTGCAGAGTCATGGAGGCAGGGTCATGAAAGGACAGCAAGGAAAACACCCCATGTCCCAGCCTACCTGGTATCTTTAGGGAAAGACCCAAAAGGAAGATTTTTAGCTACTTCTGCTTTCTCCCTTCTTATCTACAGTGTGGCAGCCTTTCTGGGTGAAGTCTTCATCTTATGTGTGTCAGCTTTGCTGGGTGGATTGCTTATGTAATCAAAAAATACAAAAATAGGGATTTTCTGTCATTCAGGGCGTCTCCCTTTTAGAGACGTCTGTCTTTGTTCAGCTGAATAAAAATGTAAAGCTTAAAGGCAACTTCTGGTTTCCTGTGTTTCTTTATCAAGCAACAGATCCTGCACAACACCTTCAGTTGCATGGCCCGGTTCCTAAGTAGCTATGGCCCAGTACCAGTATGCGGACCGGGGGTTGGGGACTCCTGCCTTATACAAAATAGTATCTCCCACCATACTTGAATAGCCTTCTCTTTCTAATCTTCAGATAGTGAACACTTTTGAATAAGTTGTTTGGTTTTATGCTATTCAAATATAACCTTCTGTTTTTAAATTTGATTTTTATTGTTTTAAAATCTTAAGTTATATATTGGACAATTGTATGCCACTCACTGTATGAGTTGGCTGGTTGAAACAGCCAATCAATTAATTGAGCTCCAACTCATAACTCCCTTTATTACCCTTGCTCCAAATGGGCAGGGTCTGGGAAACCCATCCACAAACACAAGGGGTCTGCTGCCAGCAAAATGGGGCTTATCCAGTCTGAGTCCATTAGAGAGGTTAGCTTGAAGTCCCATCCTAGGTGCCAAATTGCTGAAAGAAAAATCTTCATCAGGATCCAGTCCAAGCAGGGAGTAAACAAAATGGAGACTGCTTTAGAAGGGAGGTTGTAGTTTACTGAAGACCAGAGCCAGGCAGAAATGTGGCTCTGGGAAAGCTGACCACATGTAGCTGGGAGAGATAGATTTTTATACCTTGTTGGGCTTTTGTGTTTGAAGTTGTTTCCTGTTCCTGTGGCATGAACTCTGACTTGAGCTTTTGACTGTGTCCTTTTTTGCATTCTGATGGTGGTGGGTTAATCCTGTTATGTCCTAAAGGTCATATCCTGGTTCCCTGTGGCTGATAGCTATGTCCTTTGTTGGATTTTTTGGTGAGGGGTTGTTGGTTCTAGGGATCTTTCTAATCCCATCAGCTCTAAACTTCCTGGTGCCAATCTTTCTGAAAGGATTATCAAATCTGCATTTCGAAAAGCTGTCTGTTTGGTTTCTGCTTGTGGGAGGGAGACTTGGGGTTGTCTTTGCCTAAGATTTTTCATTATTCCTTTGGCTAAATATACTATTCTGTCTTTTTTAATATCCCCCCAAAATATTTCCTTTTCTAGGAGGGTGGATGGATGCTGACCTCCAATACAATCAATCAGGCAGCATTAGATAAACGATAAGAAAACAGATTTTTGACTATACATCAGAAAAAATCCTAACAATAAGAGCAGTGCAGCACTTTAGGTGGTGGAATCTCCTCCCCTGCAAATATTTCCTAGAGCAGCGGTTCTCAACCTATGGGTCGCGACCCCATTTGGGGTCGAACGACCATTTTACGGGGGTCGCCAAACAACGCGATCCGCCATTTTTCCCCCTCAGGGGGCGACGCTGCGCATGCACGCCACGCATGGGGGCGGTGCCGCACATGCGCGGCGCATCCGTGTGACCAGGCGTCACCGTATAAAAAGGTTGAGAACCGTTGTTCTAGAGGATAGTAACAATGGAAAATACAGTAATTGGGAAAAAATATAATAAATTTCTAGCAATTATGACATAAATAAGCAATAGTTTGATTCATTTAATTCTCTTTCAAATGCATTTTTTTTTTTAATTCGTACCTGCAACTGAATTGAAGCTACCACCCTTCGAGAGCTTCTGCTGTTTTCCAAGGACTTTCCTTCCCTCTGTTTTCGAGGGCGTTTCCTAAGGCAGCCCCACATGTTTACCTACCCATCCCGGGCCTTAATTGTCGCGGTCGCCAGGAGTCCCCAGCCAACAGAACCGCGCCTAAAACTCACTGATTCACTGATGATGCTGCTCCGAGGGCGCGGTCCTGCCTTCCCGCTCTACTGCCCGCGCGGGTGTGGCCGGAGGCGGTAAAGCGAGATCTTTTCTGCCGGAAGCCTCGCTGCCTCGTTGCAGTGCGGACTGATTGCGCCTTCGGCGACGCCATGCCCAAGTGCCCTCGTTGTCAGAAGGAGGTCTATTTCGGTAAGGGACAACTATTGTCGCTTCCTTACTTCGCGACAGGTACAACCGGGATGGAGAAAGGAAAGAAAGGCTACTATCAGAACCAGTTCCGAAATACATTTCAGAGACTAAACTCTGAGGTCTTTCCTGCAGCGGGGGTTGGGTGTGCAAGGTAGCAATCAAGGCTGATTAAGAACAGAGATTCTCGGGGCAAAACTGATAATGGCTAATCCCCAAGTACAGAGGATTTGGAGCGTCCCCAGATCCTTAGAGTAGGACAGTAGTACCTGAGCTCAAGATCTTCTGTACAGCACAGAGAACTTCGGAGCGGCAATTTCGATTAGGAAAAGGGCACCGTCTTGAGCTAAAGTCCACTTCTGTTGTGTTTTTTCTCGATTTCTTTATAGTTTTTTTGTTGTAATCTGATCCGAAGATCTTTTTGGTGTATCTCAGTACATTGAGAATTATTGTCTCATGCATTTGCACACGACACTAGACAATTTTAATATACCAGTCCTAGATTCCATATTTTGCACTTTTAGAACTTTGAAAAGTCTCTTCCCTTTGTCAGAATAATAATTTGGGGTTCCAACTCCAGCCGGAGTTGCATAAGAATAAATAAAAATAAGATCCAGACAGCTGTGAAGAAAGAAGAAATGTTTATTCCTAAAAGCAAACAGTTTGCCTTTGGGAGAAGCTGCAGAGAAATGGGGGAACAGCAACCCAATTAAATAGGGAGCTTGTCCGGGGTGTGTAGGTACTGATTCTAGGGTGACACTTGTGTGTATGAGTGCGTGTGTGTAGATACGTCTATGATGTTTATTCTTGTGAATATGCAGTTCTGCTGGGAGACCTAATTTAATTAACTCTGTGTTTGCAGACCTTAGCCTTTGGTATGTGGATTAGGTCTGGGTAACTGATTAGGAGGTTTGAGGAAGTTTGGGTAAAAGATATTCCCCGTTTGCTATTTTTATTTGATAAATTTAGTTTCAGCTTGACTGTCAATTATTTAGTGGAAATGCTGATTCTCAGATCATTGTAGATTATGTTAATATTTTAATGGAGGATGGAAACAGTATAAAGAGTAAAATATATTTTGATATAAAACTTCCCACACCTTAAAGCAGAAAAGAGTGTGTCAGATAAAAAAACGGGAGGGGCGGAGATTATAGCATGTGGCAGGCAGAGAAAGATTTGGAGTAAGAGAATGGTACTCTCAATTTACCTTAAACTGCTTTGCATGGTTCTAAATTCTCCTAAAGGACCTAAAAGAAGTCCCAATGTTATCTTGCTGGCTGAGCATCATGAGAGTTGTAATCTCAGTTCACATGAAAAGTGCCAGACTTTGGGATATGGTACTCTCTACATTCTAAAAATGAATTGCAAACTTTCTATCCAAAGTCAGAAAAGGCTATGTTTGAGGAATGGAAAACAGTGCCCTTTGATTGGATCTAAACTCCAGTTGGGGCTATAAACCTGTTATCATGGTAAACAATCAAGTATATCATGGTTAATGTTTGATGATCACTTTATAAATATATTTTCCAGTATTTCTGAATGGTGTGGCCAAGTGATGTGAAATTTGCTGAAGCCAGTAAGAAACAATATTAAAATAGCACAATGAACTGCTCTTGCAGACATCTCTTGGAGAATATACACCTGAAGAACCTGTGTGCAGGAAAGTTAGGCCTGAGAAAGACAAAAAGGCAAAAATTAAGAAATGCTAGTTGCCAAATTCTCTCACCTGAATGATAAATTTCTGGCTTCTTTAATTTTTATCAGTAGAAGAAGGGAGGAACAAGTATTTTAATAGGGATATAATATTAAGGTTCAGAGATTTTTCATGCCAAGAATATAGAATAAACAAGTAAATCTTGCAGATTTCATGATTCATAGAATACCCAAGATTCTAAAGACCAGAAATAATGATTCTTATTTATTTAATTAGTTTACATATACAATGCAATTCTGTAAATTAGGCAACCAGAAATATAAAAAGATTATCAAAAGAAATGAAAAGTCACTAATAATTTTTCTGGGATATTATTTATATGACACATGGCTTGGCACTGTATGAATCTAGATTTTTGTTGTTTATAGATCATAATTCACAGTTAAGTGCAATCTGTACACAATAGATTGTGAGTTATTTACAAATCTTACTTAGCCTTAGCATGCTGTCCAAGTCAAGCGTGTGTCAAGTTTGTAGAGGCCCATGGCAATATTTCATGGCTATTATATGAGGGAATCATAGGATTTGGTACAATATGTTTTTCACCGTACATTATTCAGAGCTACAGCATGCATCTCGGAAGACAGTGCAATATCAAATTGGTGGTACAATTTAATAGAATAGAATAGAATAGAATAGAATAGAATAGAATAGAATAGAATAGAATAGAATAGAATAGAATAGAATAGAATAGAACAGAGCTGGAAGGCACCTTGGAGGTTTTCTAGTCCAGCCCTCTGCTCAAACAGGAGAAACTACACCATCTCAGAGAGGTGAATGTCCAGTTTCCTCTTAAAAATCTCCAGTGATGGAACACCCACAATTTCTGGAGGCAAGCTATTCCACTGGGTTGATTGTCCGCACTGTCAGGAAGTTTCTCCTTAGTTCCAGGTTGCTTCTCTCTTTGATCGGTTTCCAACCATTGGTTCTCATCCTTCCCTCTGGTGCTTTGGTGAATAACCTGGCCCCCTCTGCCCTGTGGCAGCCCCTCAGATACTGGAATACTGGTATCATGTCTCCTGTATTTCTTCTTTAGACTAGCCAAGCCCAAGTCCCGTAGCCTTTCTTCGTATGTTTTAGTCTCCAGGCCTTTGATCATCTTAGTTGCTCTTCTCTGATTTTTTCCCAAACCCTCTATATCTTTTTTGTGATATGGTGACCAAAATATGATATGAGGAACCTGGGGTATTTATTTAGTACGAAGCAGTTTCGGAGTATAGGAGAGTCAGCATTTTTCTTAAAATATTATAATTTTAAATAAATATATGTCTTGCCATAGGACTACTTAGAAAAGCTGCTGTTTGTTTTCCTTTGCACACAGTGGGGCCTTTTGAACAGAAATGAGTAATAGCTATTCAAACTAATTTGCTGCCATATAACAGTTAACTTATGTGCACAAGAGCGTTTGATTTCAACCTCTTATGTGTGATGTTTATCTGTTTTACACCTTAAGTAAACATTCAGCAATGCAATTCTTGTTTTAAAAATATTATGTAAAAATAATTAAGTAGGAGGAATACATGCAACTGAAGAAAATAAAATTAAACAGAATGATTAAAATTAACACAAAGTCTTTCCAAATGAAGTTAACAGCAAGCATAGAATGGGTAATTCTCCTTGGACACTATAAGCCATTAGTAATGGCTGTAGTGCCTTCCTGAGCTGACTTAGTCCATTCCATATTATCTAATTATTTTCTTTAAAAACCCTAGGCGTAGAAAGTCCTAAATACCACCCTTGTCACAATGGAAAAAGCTGGACATTTTTTATTGTTAAGCGTTTTGTTTAATCTTTGTAAGAAAATTTAAACAACTGCAGAATGGTAAAATGACGAAATACCCATATGTAAAGAAAAGAATCATACAAATAATCCAATTCTTTCTCCAGACATCCAAGGCTATGCATTTATTACTATTATTTGGATCATCAAATGGTTGTGCTAGTGTACCACAATGGTCTTCAATATCCATAAGTATTCTGCAGAACTGAGCTCATGTTACCATATTAAGCTGCCTGCTATGTACATAGAACTAAGGAGAAATTTCCTGACAGTAAGAACAATTAATCTATGAAAGAGCTTATTTCCTGGAGTTATGGGTGCTCTATTGCTGGAAGTCTTCAACAACAGGGGTTCCAAACTTTTTTTGATTCCACAGACCAGTGGTGGCAGTGACTTTGGCAGCAGCAGGAGAGAATGATTTCACGCATGCAATCTAAATCCTGTGCACGCACAAATGAAGCTTTGCATGCTCTCCTGTCGCTTCAGCAGCCCGGTTCCCAATGGGCCACGGCTCTGTAGCAGTCCACAGCCCGGGAGTTGGAGATCTCTAATCAAGAAAATATTGGGCAGCCATTTGTCCAGGATGGAATAAGGTCTCTTGCTTTGGGCAGGAGGCTGGAGTAGAAGACCTCCAAGATTTCTTCCAGTGCTATGATTCTATGATCAGTTCTCAATACTGGTATTCTAAATATTTATGAAAATGAATGTAACTATCAAAAAAGCTTTCATGCTAGTTCAGACACATATGAAAGCATATTTCAAAGTAGAACTCTGTGAAAGTACATATAAATGCCTTTCAGAGCAAGGTTGTTCTTCATCTCTTAAACTAGTTTGCAATAGAAGATAAGCAATGCTTTGGCAGTTTTCAGAATCTTCCATCTGCAGTAGGTTTACTGTCTAGTCCAGGGGTAGGCAACCTTGGCTCTTTTATGACTCATGGACTTCACTCGTGGCTCAGGAATTCTGGGAGTTGAAGTCCACGAGTCATAAAAGCAGGGCTTTTCTTTGTCATAGAATGCCCAGAACGGAGTTCCGGCACCTTTTGGGGATGGAACCTTGTAAGGTAAGCAAGGTGGGTTGTATGACGTGTGTGAGTTCCGGCACCTTTTTTTTTTTTAACAAAAACACTGCATAAAAGAGCCAAGGTTGCCTACCCCTGGTCTAGTCCACACAATGGTACTTCTAGTTTAGAAATAAAATTATCTTAACATTCAAACAATGAGGGGAAAATTTGAATCTTAGAAAATGGTTGCAGTCCTGAGGTATCTGCAGAAAAGCCAAAGGAGACATTTCCCCATCCTTCAAATGATTCTTAAAACATTCAAAATCCCAAACCAATATCACTCTCTTTCTTTCCCCCTTCTCCCCCCCTTTTTTTCTCTCTTTTTAAAATACAAGATGCCAGCAGGGCTTCTCCTGCAGTAATTTTGGGGGTACTTATTATTTTAAAAAAAATCTTTTAAGTTTTGTTTTATTTTTTGTTTGTTTTTGTTACTGGGAGAGTCTTGAATTAAATTGCGACAAACAACTTCATCTTCTTGCCTTACCCAGCAATTTTCTCTATGGCAACTGTTACCAAGTGACTGCAATAAAAGAAGAACTGAATTATCCATAGATTTTTAAAAGGCTTAGAACAATTCTGTTTAAAGCACAGGGTTAGGGTTAGGGTTCAGATGTTTTCTCTAATGAACAATGTTATAGAAATACTTCTAATATATAAATCCTATTGATACTGTAATACTTCTAATATGTAAATCCTATTAATATTGCTGTTCAAAGAGTCTAACAAAGTTTTTTCTACATGGATGGTTTAAGCACTTTCAGAATTCTTTTTCACGCTAAATGTATAAGTTGATACATGCTGCTGCTTCTGGAAAATAACCTGATACTGATCTGTTCTCTCTCCTTGCTCCCTTTTTTCATATCGTAATTTTTTTCTCCTCCAAATAATGTTCTATAGGTCAAGACATCTCAAAATGCTTTTTCTTTCTGGAGTATGGTCCTTCCATGATTATAGGCCTTATTTCAGATTCATCTTCTCCATAGAAGTCCCAACTACTATGTTTGTTTTCCAACAAGCACCAACTATAACTTTTTTCGTTTAACTGCTCACTATGTAGCATCCAGCTGAGTTTTGATTATTATTATTAATTCATTTTCTTCCCAGACAACTCCCACTCAGTATGCTCCACCTTTCAGGACATATTCAGTCATCTTGCTAGCAACTAAATAACTTGTTTTTTATTTATAGAAATAGAAGATAATTTGGGATTTTTAAAAAGTTTCTTTCTGCAGAGGGGTGGTGATTATGCATTCACATACTGCATAACTGCCTGGTAATAAAGCAGTATTGTGGAGTGGGGAATGAGAAAACTGAAATGACTTCAATATAAAGTACAGTCAAATGATTGAAGGCAACTGCTCAAAAGTAGACATATTGTGTGTTTGCCATAGCAAACTTAACAGTGTTTCCATGGGTTAAGAAGAATTATCCAAAAGCTGTGGCTTAGCGGGAGAACACATTCTTTCATGCCATTGGTCCCCATGTCTATCCCCAGGTTCTCCTGTGAAAAAGGAATTTATTGGAAAAGTTGGGAAAGGCTCCCTGCCTGAGCAATAGTTGGGAAGTGGTGGAGCTCTTTTATTCAGCCTAAGTGTTCTCCTTTATGGCCTTATTTTTTCATACATGTTTTTTTATCTGTCTGTCCCATCTATCCCCTTTCTCTAGCTCTCTCACTCTCTCAAATTTATATGGCCATCATCTCACAAAAACATTTTTGATTTATGTCTATATTATAATAGCTGAAAAAGTCACCTCCCTTGGGAAAGATTGGCACCGGCCATGTTTGAAGTGTGAAAAATGCAAGAAGACTTTAAATGCAGGTGGCCATGCAGAGGTAAGTGGACTACATGAAGAGATGCATGTTCTTGGCAATGGCTTGAAGAACAGTTTTGTCCTGTCTCATAGCTTCATTCTTTTAGTAATTGTTCTTTTTAATAAAGTTATTGTTTTATCATAGAGAATAAAATAAAGGACAATAAAACAAAATGAAACAAAAACATACATTCAACCCTAACCACAAAAAAAGAAAAAATAATAATAGTGTACAAAAAAGGAGGAAAAAATGCCGAGGTGGCGCAGCAGTTAGAGTGCAGTACTGCAGGCCACTTTAGCTGACTTGTGTTCAGCAGGTCAGCAGTTCAAATCTCACCGGCTCAAGGTTGACTCAGCCTTCCATCCTTCCGAGGTAGGTAAAATGAGGACCTAGATTGTTGGGGGCAATGTAAATATATATATACATTGCTTACTGGTGTACACTGCTTAGAAAGTGCTTGCACTTAAAGCAGTATATAAGTCTCATAAATAAATAAATAAAATGGTCAATTAAATTTAATATTCAACATGTAGGATCCACTCTGGCTAAGTGCTGAAAGAAAAGAAAAAAGCAATAAATTCTCCTCCCCTTTTACGGGTATGTGTTTTTACGGGTGTGTGTGTGTGTGTGTGTGTGTGTGTGTGTATGTTTGTATGTATAAACAAATAAAAGAAAAAACAAACACCAGGATATAATAAACCAGCCTGTTTAATATAAACAAGCCTATGGTTAAGAAGAGTCACTAAGCTTTCGTCTGGCCAAAAACTGCCGGCGTCATCAGAGTTAGAATAGGAGATCGGGAAGGCAGCTTATATAGCCTCCTGCCTCTGTGCCCGGCTCCTTGAGCGCGTCATCGGCCCGTTGATTGTATTAATCTGTATCACGCAGAGTTGTTCCGCATCAGGCAAACTGTCCTTGGCTCCACTGGTTATTTTACGATCCTCAAGTGCTCTTTTAGAGCGAGTGCAAGTACTTGGAGGGCGGCTGTCAATCTGTCCCTGCGCCCAGACTCCCTCCCTCCCAGGGCCATTATCCTCCCCCACCCCCAAGGCCGTTGTCGTAATTCCTCCGCTCCAGTCCTGCAACAAGCAGCTGTTCCGGCATTCCTGCTCTCTGTCTTCCCCCTCCTTCCAGATCGCCTCAGCGCGTCCATCCCTGGCTTAGGGCCGTTTGGTCCATCATCTCGGTCCTCTGAGACGACCACTTTTTTCTCTTTTGTGTGAATTTGCCCCATTAACAATCCATGTCAAAAATCTTGCAATCCATCTGTTATGAAGAGGAAGTTCCAGGGATTCCAACTGAGGCTCCCATCTCCACAGCCTGTCCTTGATAAGCGTCAAGTCTCTTTTTATCTTTTTCTTTATGATCTTTATCTTTTGAAAAATAACGTAGTTCCGATCCATGTTTTTCCAAAAACACTTGTGCTTTAAGGGCTGAATTTAATCTATATCGTTGATTTCTAAAGATAAAAATAATCTCTTCCAGCTTATCCTAGCAATTTTGTTTCAGGAGATCTGTCAGGAAAAAGTATTCTTTGTTTCCTTAATATTGGAATTTCTCTGAATATTTGCATCTCTTTTCCAGAATCTCTGATGATAAGTTTCTGAATTACTTGCTGTTTAATAGATTTTATTATAAATTGGATCATAACATGTTAGAGAATTTTAATTTCTCTGTTGGCGAAAAAATAAATCAGAAGCTCTCACAGTTGACTGCATTTAGCTGATTCAAAATAACTTCTTTATATTCATATAAAAATATTTACAATACCATACATTCTTCTTTACAGCAGCATAGCTCAGTTGAAGACTTCTTACAGAGAGATACAGAGACAAACCTGAGACTGGAAATCCAGCTCCTAACTCAATAATCTTTTTGCATAGACTCAGTAGCACTTTCTTCACATTGGCTGACTGAGTTACCACATGACTTTTCCTGCTCATGAATATTCCAACACTCCTCCCTTCATGACAGAAAGAGACATCAGGCCTATTAACTTAACTCATTCTCCATAGTGAACACTACCCAATGGTTTAGTCATCATGTCTGCCGAATTATCCTCAGAAGAACAATGATGTAAACTTATCAATTTTCCTTTTACAGCTTCCCTGACATTGCAATACTTAATGTCTACATATTTACTTCTGTTCTTCACCCAGTTGCCATTTTTATACAGGCAGCATTGTCTTCAAATACCTTTACAGATTCTTTTACATTAATATTTAAATCTTGCAACAACTGTACATCATTATTTGGCAATACCTGTTTCTTATATACCCACTTACAACCCACAGCTTTGGTTCCCTGTGGCAAAGTCACTGATTTAAATACTTCATGGTCTCCCATGGATTTCACCATCTTTCTTGTTCAGCTTTTGGTAATGCCAACACTTCTTTATAACTTCTTGGCTCATACCACACATTACAAACCTTTACCTTGCTGGCAGAATACCTCTCAGGCAGAATTCCTTTATTACATCGCTCTGACCTACGTGGTATTAACTGCTGCTGTGTCTCAAGTCTTTCTGGTTTCATGTCTTGTTCAGCCTCTTCTCCCTGAACATTGACATCTCAATAATTATTTTTTATCATTAGATGAGTTATTGTCATTAAATAGATCACCGTCATTAAGTGAGACATACCTAGAATTTGCATTAATTCTGTCCCAATTTTGTTCTGCAAAATTAGCAGACCTTGAAATTACAATTCTTTTACTTCCATCGCTAAAGCAATATCCTTTTGACCCTGGCTCATAGCCCACAAACCTGAGCTTTCTTGCCTTTTTCTGTCCCTTTCTTCTGATTGCTTTTGGAATATGTACCCATGCAGTACTTCCAAAAATTCTCAAATGTGCCAGTGATGGCTTTCTCCCATATAGAATGGCATATGGAGTATTATTAATGGAGGAACTCCACAGCCTGTTAACTATATAATTGGCAGTCAATATGGCTTCTCCCCAATATGACCTGCTCATACCAGAATCCTCTAATAATGAATCTTTCATTGTTTGCAAAACACCATTCCTTCTTTCAGCTACACCGTTCTCTGCTGCTGTGTAAGGATTTATACGTCTGTGTCTTATCCCCAACTGCCCCAACCACTGTTGGAATTTAGTTGACATAAATTCAGTACCTCTGCCAGTTTGCAACTGACACACTTGTTGTCTGTACCTTCTCTCTACAAAGCTTACCCACTGTTTGAATTGTTTTAGCACCTCTGTCTTTGCTCTAAGCAAGTAGCAAAACGAATACCTGCTATAATCATAAACAATTACCAGTGCATATTTTGCTCCTCCCAAACTTGCTTGCATAGGTCCCACCAGATCTGCATGGACCAGCTCTAGAACTCTTTTTGTTTGTCTTGTGCTACATTTACTAACTGGGAATGCTTTTGACTTCGATGCTTTGCATACTGCACAATCCAAATATGTTTTGCATCCCTTCAAATTTAGCCCTTCTGCAAAACCTTGCATTTGCTGCAAAACTTTAAAGCTTGCATGGCCAAGTCTTCTATGTAGAAGATGAACACATGAATCATGCTCTGTAACATTTTTAAATATATGGGAACATTGAACCTTTTATCCTTGCAATACATATAGATTATCTTCCTTTATGCCTTCTGCACAAATATTCCCATTCCTTTTGATGAGACACTTCCCATTTACAAAAATGACCTCAAAACCTTGTTCATCTAAATTAGACACACTTAACAAATTATGTTCCATCTCAGGTACACAAAGCACATTGGTAAACTTTGATTCCAAATATGGAATTTTTATATCGCCTTTTCCGATGACTTTTGCTTTCTGGCCATTTGCCAAAGCCACAGCTTCTTGTGCTACTGGAACAAACCTGCAAAATAATTCAGATTCATTAACAATTATTTGACTTGCCCTACTATCTATTAGCCACTTGTCTCTGTTGTTGCTATTGCAAACTTTTGCAACACCAAAATGTTCCTTTTGCAAATCAGTCTTTTTTTCTTGCACAAATATCCTTTGCCGCAAACAGTTCCTCTGCAAATAGTTCCTTTTCAGATGGTTGTTTGCTTCACAAATGTAGCAATTCTTTTCTCGCTGAGCAGCTCTCTGCTTGCAAAATGTTTCTTCTTCGGAGACTTGCAGTCTGGACCCCCTCAGGAATTTCACCTCCTCATGGCTGCTTCTAAAATGGCGCTTTATTTCTTCATTAAGCAAACATGCCTTTAAAGCCTCAAAATTTAATTCTTGCTCTTCTTTACACTCAAATATAGCAGAAACTGTGTCCCAGATTTTATCTAAACTGTTCAACACCAATAAAACCTTCTGGGACTCAGGGAATTTAATCCCACATTGTTCTAAGTCCAAAAATAAACTTTGCATTTTATTTAAATGCTGTTCCACAGATTCACCTGGTTGCAAACAGGCCCTATAAAGTTTTCTTGACAATTGCACTATATTGCATGCAGAAACATTCACGTGCACAGCTCTCAACTTCAACCAAATCTCCTTTGCAGTCTTTAAATTTGCAACATTTAGAAATTGTTCATCATCTAAATTCAAGATGAGATAAGCCATTGCTTGATCATGACTCTTCTGATCAGCAGCTGTAAATACTTCTGGTGGATTTTCTACAATATACCACAGCTCTTTAGCTTTCAGCAAACATTCCATTTTTGCAGCCTATATAATGTAATTCTTCTGACCCAGAATTCTGCTAATTCTGCCTTGTTCTTATACTTTCTAAACACAGGCAATTTCTTCCAGCTTTAAATTACAATGCAGTCCTTAGTAAGCTCTGGGCCCATAACCTGTTAGAGAATTTTAATTTCTCTGTTGGTGAAAAAATAAATCAGAAGCTCTCACAGTTGACTGCATTTAGCTGATTCAAAATAACTTCTTTATATTCATATAAAAATATTTACACTACCATACATTCTTCTTTACAGCAACATAGCTCAGTTGAATACTTCTTACAGAGAGATACAGAGACAAACCTGAGACTGGAAATCCAGCTCCTAACTCAATAATATTTTTGCACAGACTCAGTAGCACTTTCTTCACATTGGCTGACTGAGTTACCACATGATTCTTCCTGCTCATGAATATTCCAACATAACATCTCTTAGCAGTTATCTTCTGGCTGCATATGCTGAATTTATTTTGTAAATCTTGTCTATTTCTTTACAGAGATCTGCTTACTCATCATTAAACCGTTTAGTCATTTCTGTTAGAATTACATCACTTAAATTATGAATTTGTATAGGGGATTCTCCTGTGATGCAGAAAAACTTCCTCCTGTTTCAAATCCAGTAACAGTAAATATTGGTTAAGAAGGCCTAACCTTTTCTGTCTCATCCAATCTAATCTGTATATTTTTAACACTTTCTTTAGTTTGCTTTAGCTCTGATACTAATAATTCAAATTTTTTATCAGATTTTTCATTCATCTCTTTTATTGTGTCGTGCAGCATAGAAAACTTTTTCTTGAATACTTTCAAAAGAAATTTGGTGGTGGGTTCGTCGGAATCACATCTTAATTCCTTCAATTCCTTCTTAGAAGGCATTTTTGCCAATATCCTCTCATACAGCCAATTGCTGGCAGCAGGCAAGAATACACTATTCTCTTTTCAAGGTCAAATAAGTTCCAAAAGCAAAACTAAGCAGCTGGCAGTAGAAATAGTGTTGATGCACAAATTCACAGAGTTAAAAAAAGGTTTCTAAACTTTTAACATAGAAAGGCAAGAATTACCATATATGCCGGCGTATAAGGCGACTTCCGCAAGTGCTAAAATTGGCGCCAAAGATGGGGGTCATCTTATACGCCGAATCGTCTTATACGCCGGAAATACTGGTAGTTTCCGGCGTATAAGACGACATTCTAGGAATGCAGCTCGGCGACAAAGACGGTGGTCGTCTTATACGCCGGGTCACCTTGTACGCCGGCATATACGGTATATGCAGAGCAGAAAAAATAGAGTAAAGATATAAAATCTTTTCAAGTTGACAATATATTTTGTCTTTTTGGTAGAAGTTCAATATAATTAAATCAGTAGCTCATTTTCTCAATAATCTAGAAAAAAAACCCTTATTGCCATGTGTCTTTTCCATAAAAATGATTAATTGTTTTAAGACACTCCTCTGCTGTTATTAAATCAATTAGAGTTCATGAGAAGGGAAGATATCTAAATTCCAGCACGCAGCCAGGAATTAACATGCAAAAAAGAAAAGAAAAAGAAAAACTACTGCAAAACATGAAGTTAAAACAAAAGCATCTTTGAAGACAACGGCTGGGCGGACATAATGTCAATCCTCTTCTTTGGCAAACTTACCAGGGAGAAAAAACTCGCTGAATATTCACACACACACGGCCAAGGAATGCCATCCAAGAAGTTTCAGGGTGATTCCATGCCACTTCTTTTCTAATCCAGGAGTGAAGTAGCTACAGAGACATGCTTTTTAGGTATCAAACCAGCCAAAGATATGTGCTACTAGTTCAGAGCACCATACTGGGTGGCATCCAATGTTTACCTGCTTTTATCTTTAGCTATCAGACCTGGCATTTACTCATATAAAGGACAAAAGGAATGCTGCATAAACTTTTCCTATGCCACCTTTGGGAACATGTTCTTCTGTAAATGGCCATGTTCTCCAATGATGCTTGGGGAAAAAAATCTATGCAGAAAAACTGGACAAGAGATTATACTTGAGATGTTTGTTCAAATGAGAGGGAACTATGGGGACAAAAGCCAGGCCTATAGCTCTTAAAGTTAGATTGTTTCTGCTGCAAAATACCTGCCTGCTTAACTTTAGGGAGGAATAAACTGACATTTACAAGACTTTTGTGTCTGCCTCCATCCTCAGAAGGAAAAGGTAATCCAACAAAAATTTGAATAGACTCTATCATATATCATTTGGTTTATGTTGCCTATGAAATGTTTCTCTTGTTTTCTCAGCATGATGGGAAACCTTATTGCAACTACCCCTGCTATGCTGCACTGTTTGGACCCAAAGGTAGGAGCCAGCAAGAGGATGTTATTGTATAAACTAGCTATCTACACACACACACACACACACACACACACACACACACGCATAATTAGAAACTATACATAAACACAAATAACACACACACACATATTCCCAAATAGGCCTATTATAGGTAGTCAACCAAAGCCATGTGATAGCGAGATGGCAACATATAAATTAAATAACTAATTAAATAAATAAATGGTAATACATAAATAGCATTTATATCTGGCATTATTCTAATATCACACTGTTGGTGTGCCTCATCTGAAATAAGGATCGGCAGGCCAGCCAAGTAGAATTTCACTCATTTTCCTCTTGAATATGAGTTTATAATAGTACATTTGACTCATTTACTTTCAGTGTTTGTTTAACAATGTGTATATTATTTCAGATGCATTTCTACATATCTTTTGTAAGGAATGTTTCCTTACATAATGTTTTTCTAAACAAATTTTGAATTGAGAATTCAGCCATAACATTTGAAACATTGCTATTGTAATATATCTGAGAGATGACTCATTCCGAATTCTATGTACTGTGTTTGGGTTGAAAGCATGTAGAAATCTTGGATAAATGGAATACTTCTGCTACTTAAAAATTAGCATAAATAAATTCTAATAAATAAAAATAACATAAATAAAAACATTTTATGTAAAAGCTGGCTACTAAATACTGGGCAATTCCATGTTGTGTTGCAAAATGGTCCAGCTTTCTAGCAGTTCAAAAGCCCTGTCTATGGCAGTTTTCATGGTCACTATTTTTTGACTTCTTAATTTTTCTTATTCTAACCTATGGGAAAAAATTAATTAAAGCAGGCCAGTAGCTGTTCTAAATTTCCACTGGGTCAGTAGCATAACTGAAGACTGGGAAAGATCTGTAAATGTTTTGCATTCCCACCCTTTGCTCAATTACTTTTGTGAGATTTTAAGGCTTTTTAAGAGATGAAAAATCAGAGAGATTAGCTGGAAGGGAGAAAGATCTGGTATATCAGTTTTTTCTTCTTAGGAGTTGGAACCATCTTAATTATTTTGAAGATGGAACACTACCAAATCCTATACGGCACAGTATTTTCCCCCCTTATTTTCCTGTTCAGTTATGACAGTGTTGGCAAACCTTTTAGAGACTGAGTGTCCAAACTGCAACCCAAAACCCACTTATGCATCATTGAGTGCCGGGTGGATGCAGCCCATTGGGTGGGTCTGGCCCATTGGGTGGAAGTGGCTGCGGTGGTAAGGGCAGACTGGGTGGGACTAAAAAGTTCAATCAATCAATTCCAACTTTGCAAGATCTTTTTTTTTCCCACAAGAAGTTGAAATTGACTGATTGAACTTTTTTTTTTTTTTTTTTTGCAAACAGCGATGGAGGCCTAAAGCGAAAAGGTTTTATAAAACCCAGCTAAAGGCCTAGGACTGGGATGATGACTCACGTGCCTACAGAGAGGGCTCTGAGTGCCACCTCTGGCACCCGTGCCATAGGTTTGCCACCACTGAGTTATGATGTGAATTGAGGTTTGGTATGAAGTTGGAAATTTTGCTTTATGTATAGATATTTTTCTCAACTATTTGGCTGAAGTTCTAGAAAAACAGACAAATATTAGCAACACAGATGTATTCTGTTCATTTTAGAGATTGGAATCAACCTTGCCAAATAGAAAGCTTGTTTTGATATTCCTATATATTTCTAATAGGAAATTTTACAAAAGGCATGGCAAATTTCTGCAAAGTAGAATTTTTCCACTGTGAGGTGGCAGATTCTATTTAGTGCATGTTCACCAAGACAGTGTCACAGAAGTCTTGCATTTATTCAAGCTATTGTTACGTTCTTGCTGCCAAACTACAAATGTAGCAGTCTGTTGTTATTTAATAGGAAGTTTCAGTCCATTTAAATACACTCTGATGTCCTTAATACAGAAGAGAAAAGGTTATAGTTGACTCTACCCAAAACAGGAAAATATTTTTCTCTATATCTGGAAGGTATAGAACAATGGCTCCCAACCTTTTCTGTATCCCACACCCCTGGAATGCTTCTGATTATGTTCTCGCACCCCTTACAAAAGTTTGAAATAACGGTAATGAATTATGCATATATACTATATTTTTGAAAACCCAAGTTTTCACATCCCCTGGAATATCATTTTGCACCCCAGGGGGTGGGAGCACCCCTGGTTGGGAACCTCTGGTATAGAAGAAAGAAACAGAAGCTAAAAGGTCTTACCTAGCATTTAGCATCTTTTTTCCCTTTTTTTTTTTTCTGGTTCATCATGTACAGAAACCTTAGCTCTTCCAGTATTTTATCTGAAAGTGGAAGAGAAGCACTTGTCTTAGTCAGAGATGGAGAGGTGCCATTAAAATCTGTAATGCTGACATTAGATTATTTTTTTTTAAGGGTTTGGCCGTGGAGGTGCTGAAAGCTACACTTTCAATTAAAACTTGGTGAGTCCCATTTTTTCCATTAATAGCTGCATGATTAGAAAGCTACATGTAAAGTAGCCTTGAAGGCTAAGTCTTATTCTTTTTGGTTTTGCTTATCATGTTATCTTTTCCTTCTTAGGAGTGGAAGGATGAATTTTGCTGATTCCAGGTGGAGTTCATAAGAAGTATAACCACACTGTGTTTTTCCCTAGAAGTGAATATAATGATGACTTCAAAGGGGGGGGGCATGATAATTCCTCTTTAACATCAGTTGAGAAATATAATCATGTAGAAACTAGAAAATAATAGCATTGGGGGCATCATAGAAAAGCATGGAAATTAAAAAAAATCAAAGCCTGCTTTAGATCTTTTCTTTTATTATTTTTCTAACTTACAAATAAAATCTTAAATCAAAAGAGGCTTGCAGAGTTTCAATGAATCACAAAATGGACATAAAAATCTGGGAAACATTTACTGATGTTCGTTAAGAAAGAATTTCAGAATTAAGAATTTAAATTCTTTAAGAAAGGATATCTAAAAATGTCTTCAGAATTATTTTTAGTGAACTCATGTGAAATGAACGTATTTTTAGTGAACTCATGTGAAATGAACGCTTATTGCATCCAGTGAAACTTGCATTTTGAATTTATAAATTGCAATTCAGACTGAAATCCATTGGGAAGCAATTGTTTGATTGTATAATCAGCAACCAAGTACATAATCTGCAGAGCATAGATGTATATTTGTGTTAAAGCATTCCGAGACAGGCTGGTTGTTTATTTTTACTCAGCACTAGCAAGCTGTTTAATTTACTGTACAATATATATATATTGCAGTGGGTATAATTTGCAGTAGAAAACAAGTGAGGATAATATATTGTTTACCTGACTGTCCCTTACCTTCTTTAGCTTCTTTTCCTCGATATATTTTTCCATACTTATATTTAGGCAAGTCTAGGCCTCTAGTAAGGTTAATATGGGTTTGACTCTATATTGAAGCTGAAAAATGTATGGCAGTAGCAAGGCCCCCATCTAAAATGGCCCCAAATACACAGTAATGTAACTATGTTTTAAGAAATAAAATATGTGGTATAAGAAGTCTATTATGAAATTTATTGATATTTTCATTTCATTTAAGTTAACCAAATTATATGAAAGTAGTTCAGATGAGAGCTGTTGTAATGAATTTAAGAAACAATTCTTTCCTATTCAGTAATTTAAACAATCAAGATATATTTGTGAAAGGATGCTCCCATTCTTGTAAAAGAAATGCAAAAGACAAACAAAGTGAAGCTGTTTCTGATTGGAATTTTAGCATTTGGTTTTCAGATATCTCTGCCCTGGTATTTTCTTTAATTCTTTCACTGACTGAAGGAATTGAATTTGCCTCCATTTGCTATAATCTTCATTTGTGCTCTTAATTTAAGAAAGATAGGCATGTCATTTATAAACAGATTAATACATGTACTTGCTCACTGAAATAAAAGGCCATCTGAATTCTATCTCTACTAATTGCTTAAGAAATTTGTCAAATGTTTTAAAAATAGCCAAGCAAAGCAAATTTAATACAGATTTAGTACTAAATACTATAGGCAATGCACCTGTATCCTCTTAGTCCTATACACCCTAGGATCTGTCGGAGGAAAAGGCAGTTCCTCCTCATTTCCACTCATTGGTTGCAGCTGCACCCCTTTCCCACTCTCTGCTTCTGGTTTGTCTTCCAAGCCTCTTGACTGAGGCTACTCATCCAATCAATCCTCTGGCCCTTCTGAAATTTTTGGTGTCTCCTACTCTTCCTGCTCCCCACACCCCCACCCCAGCTCCCAAGTCCTGTCCCCCGCTCCCGTGCTCCCAAGTTCCTGAAGCAGGCTCTTTCTCACTATCCAAATCTGCTTGGGGGGGGGGCATCCATGACAGCATGAAAGCTGATTGAGTGAATTTGGGCCAATCACTGTCTCTTAGTCCAGCCTAACTTACAGGGTTGCTGTTGTGGGGAAAATAGAAGGAACCAGGAGTATTAGGTATGTTTACTGCCTTTAAAATATATGTACAAAATATGGCATAAAAATCTAATAATACTACTAAGCCTGCAGCACTTTGAAATAGCTGGTTTGGGAAGTATGTCTCCATATTGCAGCCACTTAAGCTTATTTATGCAGGTTAAGTGGGATATCCTGATACAACAAAGAACTTTCCATTTCATGTTTTACCTCAGTCCTCCATTCCTCTGATCTCTGAAAAAGAGCTGATGTTCCCATCTTCAAAAAAAAAAGGGGGGGGGGCAGATCCAAAAAACTACAGACCAATCAGCCTGACATCAATACCTGGGAAGATACTGGAAAAGATAATCTGCAAACACCTAGAAGCAAGCGAAGTTATAACCAGAAGCCAATATGGGTTTGTCAAAAACAGATCATGCCAAACAAATCTTATTTCTTTGACAAAGTGACTAAATTAGTGGATGAGTGAAATGCAGTGGGTATAGTCTCCTTGGATTTCAGTAAGGAATTTGTCAAAGTAGACAAAAAATCCATCCTAACTGCAATTAAGTCAATAAGTCAATACAGTGCAGTACCCTAATGTTCTGTTTTAGGCCCACTACTCTTCAACATCTTCATAAATGATTTAGATGAGGGAACAGAAAGAAATTTGCAGCTGACACCACATTGGCAGGAATAGCCAACACCCCAGAAGATAGGCTAAAGATCCAGATGGATCTCATACTTGAACACTGGACCTTATCTAACAAACTGAAATTCAGTGTAGAGAAAAGTAAGATTTTACACATAAATAAGAAAAATGAAATATATAGGTACGTATTAGATGAAACCTGGCTCAACCGGAATGGGACCTTTAGGGTCCCACCCTTGGCCATGCCTCCCTCCTCCCACCTCAGCCCATTTACCTCCAGCATTCCTCCTTGGCTGGCCCACCCCTGGCCATTCTCCCTGGCCAATGGGCCCCTTCTGCCCAGCGCCCTTTGGCCTGGCCCTTTCACCAAGGCACCCTTTGTCCCAGGCCTTTGGCTGGACGGGACAGATAGCTGCCAGCCAATCAGGTGGGTGGCAGGCAGCAGCCATGGTGCTGCAGGGGGGCAGTGTGCAAAGGGCGATCACAGGGACTGTTGTGGGGCAGCAGGCCAACGGCAGAGCTGGCGCAGCTCCTGCCATTGTGGGGCAGGGGGAAGCCTGGTGTGGGGTAGGAAGGAGACAAACTGTGCTGATGTGGCTTCTGCCATTATGAGGGAGGGAAACTGGTGTGTGGCAGCAAGCCAACTCCCTGTTCAGTGTGAGGCCAGAGTCCAGGAGTAGAGGCAACAGAAGGGAGGGTGGAAGAAAAAAAGATGAGACACCCCAACCAGTAGGCCAAGGAGAAATGCTGCAAACAGCCAACCTTGACCTGTACACAGAGGCTAATGCTCAAGTCTCAGTGAGGCCCAAGATGTCCCAGGCTCCCTATGACCTGAGGCAACAAAGAAAGCCTACAGAAGCCATGCATTCACATCTGATGGAAAGATGGGAGTCAAACTACAAGCACCATGAAAGACACTGGGAGAAATTACACAAACTCTACCAAGGGCCTAAGGAGGAGCTCTCCCCTGAACGTGTGCGCTTAGTGGAAGAAGATAAGAAAGACACTCTTGCGCAATGGATGGACTCCGAACAGTACCTCAAAGAGTGTCATGCCTCCTTCTGAGCCTGACTCTGAGGACGACATGGAGTTTCCTGTTGAGGCCCAGGAGGGGGTGTCTGTGGCTTTGGAGGACTGTGGGGAGGAACAGGCTGAAGCAGGTCAGGGCCCTTCAAGTTTAGAACAGGGAAGGCAGAGCTCAGGCAAGGAGCAAGGCCCCTCCCCTCCTGATCCCAGAGCAAGGAGAGCAGAGAGGAAAAGGGAACAATGGAGGCAGGCTCACTTGCTTGGGAGGAGAGCATCACGCCCCACTTCACAAGGCACACCTGGGGAGTAGGGATTTAAGGAGACGCTGTGGGGTGGGGCATTTGCTGGGAACAGACATGAACTCTTGTGATGTGAGCTCTTGTACCTGGACTCTTTGTATTTTGGATCAAGTTTGTTTCCTGCTAAGTTTTCCTTGCTGTCTTCAGTTTTGCAGTTTGCAGGTTACAGGCAAGCTGGGCGTTGAAAAGATCATACTTTGTTATCTGTTTTATCTTAAAGAACTGTTTAACTCCGGTGACTGTTTTATTGAACTTGTGCCAGCAAATGTGGGGGCTGTTGGGTGAACGTTGGCAGTGCTTACAAAGACAATTATTCTGACCAGCTAAATGCTTTGCTTCCATTCGGGGCCCTGGGTCATCACAAAGAGATTCAGGCGCAATTAGGAGACCCAACAGTCTATAGCAAGATGCAAAGCCTCAAACTAAAAAACAAGGAATGCAATAAGTAAAGTCCCTACTGCTTCAACAGGAGGCAGCATCCCAAGAAACTGCTACCAGACCTGAACACAGAAGAGGATCTCAATCATCAGCTGTGCCAGCCTACTAGAAAGCCAGCAACGCACCACCTGAAAGACGAGAAACCCTCCAACAAGTAAGCACACAAGAAGTCAGGTACACTCAGCTCAACATAAGGGCAGAGGAGTTCAGACCAATCCCACAAGTTCTGTCGCACGTGCCATGGCAAAACACCCTCAGTGTCAACACACTGAAGAAAGTAACCAGCCAGACATGGCACATGCCCCCGCTCTCGGAAGCAATGCACCACCTTTGCCTGGCTACAGCCCACACACAGGACTGATGTATCCTCCAATATTCGGTGGAAGAAGTTGGACATGGCAGCCAGAGGTGTGCGAAAATTCTCCGACAAACCAGGGAGGGAGTACTTATTGTGGAAGTACATCTTCAAGTGTGCCATCCTCATTGTCTGCATAGAAAGTGGTAGACAATACAACAAGGCCACACTGTACCAAGGTTAGAACTATGTGGTACCATATTGGCTGTAAAGCTCACCAGCTTGACAGCGAAAACGTTGTGCCTTGAACTACAGTCTATCACCTTCTACGCAGACAGCAAGATGATGTCAAGATACATCTGCAAGCAAAGCAGACACTTCTACGTATATGTAGGCAATAGTGTAGAAATGATTTAAACATCTCTAAGCACTGAACAATGGCAACACGTGCCAACAGATAAGAACCTTGTGAACCAAGTTAAGTGTCCCAACCTCACCACACAGTTAACAGAATTGATCTGGCTAAAGCGTGGGAGGGCATGATTGGCGTACCCGCACAATCATGGACTCTATGTCGTCAAAGACACCCACGCCCACACATGAAGTCTTCACCAACCTCATGACAACAGTAGCAGCCATCTTCAATGCTCCACCGGTGGTTCCAGACCCTTCGGTTCCTGAATGTCCTGAGTCTTCTGCTCCTGTTGTTCCTGTTTTTCCAGCTCCTGCTGTTTCTGAGTTTCCTGTGGTTCCAGCTTCTTCAGTTCCTGAGCATCCTGTGAATCCAGGTTCCTTTGTTCCTGAGAAATTTTGGGTTCCAGCTTTTCTGTTCCAGGTTTGGTTCCAGTTTCTTCTACAGGAAGAAGACCTTGTCTTTCTGAGAGACAAGAATGCATACCAGAACTATTAGCCCATGGGATTTGTGCACCAGGCCCCACCCAGTTTGATGGACTAGTTCGCCAACTTGAGGTCCAGATCGTGAAGCCACGTGAGTCAGATCATGACTCAAAGACTCTTGTACCAGGCTGATCACCGATTTGGTCCCGTTGCTGACGAAGATCAAACTAGAAGATTGAACCTCAAACTATGTATTTGTGTTTATGCATTGTTTGATGTAACACTTGTTTATCTATGTTATAATTGTGCATGTTTTCTATTTATCTTATAGTTATGCATGTTTTGATACTATGTTTTACCTATTTTAGTCACTAGTTAGTTAGCAATGAGAATTGCATGCTTAATGCTACGGTTTTTTTTGCTTATTTCAGTTCGTTAGTAGTGGAAATTTATATTTCTAAGCGGGGAGTGTTCTGAACCCATAGATAGATCTGTATGCTAGAATGTTTGGAATTTATTGGGTTAAGTGCTGTCTCCTTAAGAGATGGCTTATGGGTAATATAGTTTAGTTATTCAGTGTATCCCATTGTTAACAAGTCTGTAGGAGGAGCCACTAAAGTTCATCACAGGATATCCTGGCTACGTGCCAGCTTGTGTTTAATTGTCTTTGTGCAAGCCAACCATGCAACACGCATGGACATCAAATGTAACCAGGCAAAAGTGAATATGAAGGAATTATTGATTTTACCAACATAATGGACAAATGGTCACTACTGGATACATCTTCAGGAATGTAAGTTTCTGTTAAGGATTCCCGGATTAAATATTTGTTTAAATCAATTTTGTTGCGTTATCTATCTGGGTCTGAATTGGAAGACAACTCAGTTCAGTGTTCCAGAATAAGGGGTCTTGGAGTCCTAGTGGATAATCACTTAAATATGAGTCAGCAGTGTGTGGCAGTAGCCCAAAAAGCCAA